CTTAAGTCGGTATTAATTAATCGACTTTTTGAATGATTTTTGGAGTGGTTACCTAGATCGGCCGGCTTGGCCGTGGGTCGTTTTCAAGTGAGTCCCTGTTTTGCTTGAAGAGGGTATGTCACTTGTAAAACACTGGTTTTACCTGGGCAAGAGTCCCCTTAAATGGATGACATTTCTTCCAGTACGGTTTGAACTAATTTTCTTTACTTGGAAATTAATTTTATAACCATATTTCACAATTTGTCCCCGATTGACTTGTTCGGTCGGCGAGAGTTCAAAGTTCAAAGACTACTGGCCTAATTACGATAAAACATGGTATTCATGTACTAAAAATGAGTTGCTTAATTCGTAATGACTCGAGTAAGCACCCTCACTAATGACCTACCTACCCTTTAGGTGAACATAAAAACGCACCCTTGTATAATAAGCAAGCGGCAAACTCTAACCGTTGGGAAATGCGATAGGTACATTAAAATTCAATTTTTCTCCACGTAGGCAGTACAAAAAAATACCATTTCCGTCTCTTTAATCATGAAATAATAATATACACAAGCGTGACTCATAAAATCCATCTGTACGCCTATATATCTTCAAATAAGTACTAATAAAGTTAAACCCTGTCCAGACCATTCCAGGCTCTCCTGTTTGCATGTAACCTAACATCTATTTAATTAATTCACGCTAATAATTTAGTAGATGGACGATCGTACATTAGGTAAGCTCATTTGGGATTCCATTCCTGACAATGTACGACTGTAGAATTCACATGTGGTCAAGTAGATTACTAAATAATTACAGTAAATAATTGGATGTGAGGTCATTTGCAGGACGAATTGCCGAGAAACACGTCAAGGGCTTTTCGGGCAAAATCATACTTCTCGTCGTCAGTCAAGAAAATTAAGAGTTAGAGTTAGTTGTAATCAGGGGCGCAACAACGTTACAGTTTGACTGGGTGCTCCAATCATAATAATATAAATGAGTAAAAAAAAAGGTCACCAATGTATTGAATGTCTTACCATATTGTAATGTTCGTGGGTTTAACAAATTAACTTTTAAGAAGAAAACTATTTATTTACACTAATTATTATTGAACTTAAAAACACTATTAATTTATTACTAAACTTCTGCAACGGTCAATTTATTTCTACTCCACTCGGAGATCGTCTCTTTCTTTGAATACTCCCTTGCCTTCTTTCAGGAACATTCTCGAGCCGTCCAGAGAAGTCTCGTTTTCTTCGAACGGTTTAATTGCCTTCCCGGAACGCAGGTACGACACACGTTTACAGATACGGCACACATGAAGAAAAGCGCCCGCGGCTAGTCGGCGAATCGATAAGCCACTCACACACACGTATGGCCGATCGCACACAATCACGCTCGTGGTCGCTACAATATACTTGAAAAGGTCGAGTTTGGCTGTTCATTTACGAGCTTGAACTGTTTGAGCCGAACTTTCAAGTTGGGTTATTATCTGAATCGACTGGAATTGACTGGGTGCCTAACCCAATTGAGTGGGTGCTCAGGCACCCGTGGACTACCCCTTGTTGCGCCCCTGTAATGTTGTTGTAATGTTTCCGTATTAAATAAAATGTGAAGGAACTAAAATTTTCTTTAAATGCATAACGGCTGCTCAGTTACTTTAGTTATTTTTTAAAGGGAAACATGCGACGTCTGAGTCACGACTGATTGAGCAGTAAATTGCTGGAAATTGGAAAAGCTATAGTTAGGACGTTCAAAGTTGACATAGGCCGCAATAAAACTGTCGCATTTACTTTCTTCGTTCAACTTGTTGGTAGAATACCTACTTTTATTCACGACAGACGTTGTAGGGAATGTCGTAAACATAGATAAGAGACATCAGGTAGGAATTGCAGCGGGCACTAATAAAGAAAAAAAGAGTAACATTACACCAATTAATGTGTAACAGAAGGAGATGCAGATACCCAGAATTTTAGAATGTTGCCAGAAACGAACTGATGCTATGCTAAGCTAAGATATAATTCCACACAGTTATAAAGCCTACCCTGATCTTTTGCGTACCTAAACCTCTAACCGCTGCACCGCTTACTATTATTCGGTTATTTCTTTATACTTTGTTTATAGATATGTTACAAAAGGGAGTTCAGGGTTGGAATGCACCCCCTCTTTCCCCTTGATCTATCGAGAATGTGACGTCATCTACATAAGCATAGTGCATGGCGCACCCTAAAGCCTACAAGCTAAGAATAATAAGGGAATTTTGAGGCCTAGTTTCTGTGACAGTCTCTATAATACCAATCGATAACTGTATGTTGTGCAATTAGTGGAATATGTTCTTTCGCCATGCGTTTTCCTTTGATTTCATGATGACATTCAAACAGTTTATTTAGCCGTTTTCTCTCGGCTTCCCTGACTCCAAGTTCTGTATGAGACACGTCGAAATTAAAGCTTTTTTGAAAAATTAAGTTTTTTTTATGCCCAACATCATCATTCATTACGCTTGACATTTCATAGTACTGAACTTCAAAAATACGAAAATTATGAGTTGGGACGTTGGAAGTTTTAAAACATAATTCGAGTGTTTACACGGTTGCAGGCGGTTTTTCAGAAACTGTTAAGTTCATTGAAAAATGAATCGATATCTACGGGAGATGAAGTAGGTGAGGGAAGTAGTTCCCCCAATTCCACTGCTGCCACTCGTTGAGAAATTGTAAATGAAAATGAAAAAAAGAGCCCTCTACGTACGGAATTTCAGCATGAAAGAGACTTTAATTCTGGAAATTAGGCCATATTTACATAGTAGTTTTCTCTACCAATGAAATTTAAAATAAAATATCAGTTTAGGTGTTTTTATAATTCTGCAAATGTTTAGGATTTTTGGTGGTGATTTCTGATATTTAAAAAGAATTAAAGTAATACCTACAACGCCTGAGGAAGTAAATGTTGGTATATGCATATGAAAATTTGATTCTAGTCTCTATTAAAATCCATCTTTCGCGAATCTAGACAAATTACTCTAGAGGACTCCCGAAGCCAGCAAGAACNAGGCTTTAACGCTTGTTTTCGACTCGCACTACTATTCATGATTGAACAAAACTTTTGGCAGGTACTGTATGAAAAAGTATGTTTAATAAACAACAATCGAGAGTATAATGAGCTTTTTTCTTCTTACCTACGATTTGGCCAGCGCGCATCCAAGACATTGGAAAGGGCACATCGCTAGAGAAAGTAAATGAAGTATAATAGGCTTTAGCATTTGTTATCTTGTGATTTAATTGACCTATGCATAAAGTGATTCTTGGATTTATTCATATTAAACATTTTCCCTGCTCAAAAGACTAAACTAAACGAAAGATGAACACAAATGATGTTACTTAATATTTATTAAGGGACTCAGCATCTTCCTCCGTCGTGATTAATGAAAGCAAGAAGTACTGTAATCAATTCTCTTTGAAAAAGTTTCACGAACGGTCCTTTGTCTGGACCATAACATAAATTATATGGTGCTTCTCGAGGGCACTGTATTTTAAAATCCATTACGAGTGGGAGGTTAATAAGTTGGAACATCGTTAGTAATTTGATAGTGAGAGCTTGATAACTGTGTGTTTATTTTTAAAGAAATTAAAAGAAAATATAACATAACTATTAGATAATATTTATTTATAACTAGGTTTTATCCGCGGCTTCATTCGCGTTGATGTTTTCTTTTATTGATTTTCATATAAAAGTATTAAAAAATTGAAAACAATTTTTAAGTTTTTAGTACTGCACATTTCAATTTAACTCCGAACAATTTACGTATGATACGCTGGACGACCACATAAAATACTTCTATCCTTCAAAAATTTTTTTTTTGATACCTACCCTATATCCTTTTATGCGCCCCTGGCAATGTGTGTACAAAATTTTGTGATGATCGGTTGAGTAGTTGAAGCGTCAAATCGTAACAAACAAATAAATAAATAAACCCACATTCGCATTTATAATAAGTATTGTATTGTAAATTCCTCAATTTCAACTTTTAATGCAAGAAGGGGTAGATAAAATTAATACTACGGCGTTATAAGTAGAGCTGTTTTCTATTATTCTAGACTTTATTTTTTACCTTCAGTGGAAGTGATTGTTTTAGTATTAAGCACAATCGAAGTTCATGAATTTTGTAAGTGACCTGACTGCGCTTTGGAGACATTTAACAGATCGCCATGCGGACATTATCCAGTTCATGCGATTCCAGTTACACGTGCAAGTAAAAATACGGCCGACAAACTTTGTTTTAATTTTAAACAGTAAAAGTACTAATTAGAACAGAGACAACATTGAAAAGTTGTTACAGTTTTGTACATAATGTACTGTAAAGTGAATTAATTTTTGAATTATGTTTTTTTAATTACTGCAGCTTAACATTATCCGCTACTCGGCCGGATCCTATAAGAAGTTGCGGACCCAAACCGGATACCCTGCCCATATCTATTTAATACCAAGTCACTAGCAAAAATTGGACCACTCTTGGCCAGATTCATTCACATTCATACATCGTTCGCATTCTGCAGGATTTCTATTTTGTTCTATTCTAAACGTTATAATTTTGCCAATCATAAAAAAGATGTAGAACAACCCTTTCTTTAGTTCACAACTTGCCACTAGTGTACCAAATGAAAATTCCATATGTTCGTATGGTAAACTCAAAAACATCGAGAATGTTCATCGTGGTTCTGTTTGAATGACAAAAAAAAACACAGGATTTTTTTTGAGTGAGACATCGGGACACTCTAGTAAATGATAATATAGGGTGGTTCATAACGGGCTTTACAAATAGGGCTTTCACTATTTCACGTGTGTTGAAAAAAAACACGATTACACTTGAAACCGTACAAATGAATTGCATTTTAAAGTTGTAAAGGAAAGACACAGATGTATACATATATACATATGTATGTATAAAGGACAATATGTATACTGTTCCCTGCGAATTCGACAAGGAACTCTGGATAACTTGCGCCTGAAGCCTTTGTGGGTCGAGCGTTCGAGTTTCCATCCGCGGAAGCGCGATAGTAGTCTCTCAACGACGACACCACACAGATGATGTACAAAATACAGAAACGTGCGCGATTAAGATGAACACGTAAAGATAATCTACAAAGTCTAGAACCACTACTTTTACTATATCACCGGTGAGTATCTCATAATTTTTTATTGTGGGATTTCAACAGCTTTTTTCAGTTAAAAAAAGTTGAGGACGTAAAGCTTTGGATTAAGAATAGTCTTAATAAATGATATCTGCTAAAAAATAAATGTCTGAATTTATTTGTCAGAATTATCCTTTTGGATTAAATAAGTATATCTATAGAAAGACCTAATATTTTATGGAAAAAACAATAATATTTCAAGCTTTCTAGGTATAAAACAGAGAAAAAGAACTTAAAGCTTAAGCACAA